CCTCAAAAATATAGTCAAGTGACAAATGGCAAGATGGTATAGACTTTTACAGCCAAGCCTGATGGACCGAGTTCAGTCCCCAGCACTCATATATTCATATGGTGAAAGAATAGACCCAACTTTCCCAAGTTGTTCTCTGGCCTGAAAAACATGTTTGTCACTACATCACTACAAGCTTGATATCTCTCTCTCTCTCTCTCTCTCTCTCTCTCTCTCTCTCTCTCACACACACACACATATTCACAAATATAATAAATAAATGTGGTATGATTTTTTTAAAATATTTGGATGAAGTATTAATGTGTTTTGTGTATGCATTATTTCTGCTTAATGTCAAAATAGTATACTACCTGGGGCAGAATGAATAAAGATGAAAGATACATATGTAGCAACATTGTAAACATAATCTTATATTCAAGTAATTAAACATTTCAGTGGGTACATTTGCAAGAAGATGAAGATATTTCTAAAAGTTTCTATTGGAGGAGAACTAGGGAAGAAATAACCACATGAATTGCAGAACAGTGTATCTATCCTCAAAGATGCTAATTCAGGTCCAGGGGGATCTAATCAACCTCTTTGTTGAAGTAAAGATAAAACTTTTTGACAGCAAATGCTATTCTGATAAAATGGAATTTTCAATTACTCTATGAACATCTGGCCCATGCTACAATTTCTGGAATCCAGCAGCACATTTCTTTCCAATGTCACAAAATATTCTCCACTGAAAACTCCTTGTTTTGCCAAGAGATTAATTGAAATGAGTGTTTGAAAATGTAGTGAGGTGAGAGGAAACTCTGGGGATAGATAAGGAGATAAAGCTGTCCAGTCACTGAATGATAATTTACTTAAAAGGCTAAAGAAAATGAAATTCGATGCTGGTGATAGAGTGTTGAGGGTACAAACATCTTAATACACTTGTAGTTGACATTAATCTGTGCATGGGGTGAAGACTATGGGACATTTTTATGACAATTTTGTAGTAGTAGTCACATTAGATGCACACCAACTTCTTCTGATTCATGTTTTACACGCAAATATGTTGAGCGATATTTAAGTGATAATCTTAATAAATAAACAAATTAAGTAAAATGCAGAAGTACTTAACACTTTCCAAAATAAAGCACTGATTATCTTGCATTTGAGTGTGTTTGGATGTGAAAACTAGATCAACATCACTGTAAATTTCTGTGCATTGCTTCTATTTGGTACCAATTAGCATGGGAAGGAAACCAACTCAGTGTTGTAGCAAACTCCAAACTAGGTGCATATTAGAGCAATTACAGTCATCTTTTCAGTAGATGAATTTATAATCAATGTTTAAAATCATAACGAATGAAATTGAGTGTGATCTGAAACAAATTACTTGGGCTTGGAACTAGTGTGCAGTTCTGAGCTATGATCCCCATAAACTTCAGTTTCATATTCATATTACACAGTTAAGCATAATTCAATAGCCACAGCACTATAAATGACCTTGCAAAAAAAGGTGAGAGGGCAGCAAGAGGTCTACTAACCCCATCACTACTCTCAGAGAAACATTGACTACAAAAAGATTCAATCTGGTAATGCTTTCAATTACGCAACAAAACCATGAGCCACTGACATCTTTCTTCACCCTACTTGTCAATTTCAGCCACTTAAGGAGTCAATATTCTTATCTTCTCAAGAAGGTGGTAAATTCACTGAATAAAATCAGAGAGGGAAAGCACTGGTTAAGAGATGAGATTGTGACTCTATAGCTCAGCATCAAATCACCTCATGAGCCAAGTTAGAAGATAAGCCTGCCTAACGTGGCAACACTTAACTTGTTCTCAAGGTACTTTGAGACCAATTGAGAGATAATATTCTAAGAAGGACCGTGTGTCAAGAGAAAGCACATGTTAAAAAATGTTCCATTATCTTCCTTTCTGGGAAGTCACAAGATCCACAGGACTGGGGACAAACCGAGATAAGCCATATTAATTCATGGACATGATGGATGACAAATAAATCTGGAATTCTGTAGCAACCGGGGAATTAAGCTCAGCAAGTTCACCCACCACCTGCCCTGTTTTCAAACTCATTAAGAAATGCCAGGGTTGAAAGTAAGGTAGACAGCAGAGGCTCTTAACATTCCTTTGTTGCTATTCTGACGCAGCTCACAAACATGTTTGTGGAAATATGTAATCAAAAACACAATCGGAACTCTCCAGTGACTAGGGTTTTGACCTTTAAATTTGAATGTCTTTTTAAAAGTCTCCTACCTTCATTGAACATAGTGATTCTGGGGTTTCTATGCATAGGAAGAGTTTCATAGAAAAGCTACTGAAAACTACGACATTTGGCCCTTTACTCAAGACAGAAAATCTCCCTGCCATTCACATTGAGAATTCTTATGCTGTAGCAAAGTTACAAAAATACTGAAGATACTTAGAGCAGTACAATGAAACCCAGGTCTCCAATGTCTCTTGAAAAGAATGAACCAAATATAATTTGTAGCTTTCTAAATATTGACAATACAATATGAACCCATATAACACGTCATTCCTGCCTGCTCAAGGAAAAATTATAGGTGCGTAAAGTCATTTTTAGTTTGATATTCCTGGGATTTCTCATCAAACACATGTTCCCACATATACAGAAAAAGAGGCAATGCTAAAGTTAAAAGTAGGAATGTCATAAGGAAGACCCAGTTATGACACCCAAGGTGAGTCTAACTCCCCAATACAGTGATGTTAAGGTAACCTTTACTGGTTACATTTGGTGTGATGTTGCAATGGTTCTCATAAACCAGAAGAAGTATCAGATTCAGAACTTTGCCTGGGAAGTTCAAAATCAGGCATGTTTGGGGAATTCACCCAGTGAGTGCCTTTCAACTACTGAGCCGAAGGATAAAAGAAGATGCCCTTCCATGACTGCAGGTTCAAGGCAACAAATGTTTAAAAATGTTAAATGGCTGGAAAAGCTGTGATGATTTTCAGAGAAATATAATCAACCCAAGATAGCTGGTGACACGGTTCCTGTGGCAAGCCTGGAGATGATTTGGAATACCACAGCTACATATCATTACAAAACCATTGGAAGTTGTGGGCTATCACAGGTAAAGACTGAGATGCAAACAAGAGTTTAATTCCTTTTGCCACTCAAACTGGAAAGGACCAGGTCAAGGGTTGGCTCAAAGTTTAGTCATTGTCAGAACAATAAAAAAGAAAGAAAGAAAAAAGAAAAGAAAAGCATGTCAATCAAATACCAAAAAACAAAATGTAAAGATGTTGTCAAAATGGTATACCAAGAAAAAATGTGTCTACAGGCACGAATGTGTGTGAAGTCATCACTTTGTTATGTAAGAGAGTCTTTGGATACTGTCACATATTTGTTTTCTAATATTCTTACTATTATTCAATCTATACAGTACGTAATGCAACCCGTTTGTAAGAAACACTCGGAACATCTAGCTGCAACCCACTGATATTGTTTTCCTTGAGAAATATGAGAAAAAATTAAAACAGATGTTGGTCCAGCCAGGCATAAAGCGAGAATCAATTACAACTATTTTCTTTCCTGGAGTCATTTCATTTTGGAGAGCATCTAACAGAAAACCTCCCTGATCTCAACAAAGAGCGCATTTCTTTGAGATACACATGAGTAGGAAATGATACATATCTGTCTGCATCTTCTGAGAATTAAATTGCCTCTGTTTCAGCTATAAAAATGTTTAATTCTTTATCCTCAGTCATATAGGAAGATTTCCCAGAAAGTATATTATCTCTGCAGATGTCACCACTCTCCAATTAAGGAAAGAAGCAGGGTACAATTGGTAGTGACCTCTCTATATTATAGACTTTGACACTTGAGTCTCCTGAGGAGGGAATGGATTAGACAATTTAATAGAATCTACAGTGGCTACTTTTTTCCATGAAGAAACATTTTGTTTTGTGAATCATGCATTTTTTGGATTCATTTAGAAAACCAAAACAAAAGAGTTTAATGATGTTTACAGTGAAATGAGACAGCTGACGACCAGCACGGAATTACCATATTTTGTTTTCTCATCTTTAAGACTTTTAGCAGTAGGACTTCCAGCTGAGCATGAGACTAGCTTTTCTCAAGACATAGCCAAGCATTCGGAAGCTTCACTGAGCCTAAACACCAAATTGAATTCATACTTCTTAATTGGGAAAGACAGGCTGTTTGCATACCATGTTTACATCAGTAAAATATTGAAAGTGACATTTGTGCCCAAGTCTGTATGAACAATCTGCCTTAGCTGAACTCTGCTACTGTTTTCAGAACCTGGTTTCTGCCTATCACAGTTTTAAAGAGCACCTCTCTCTAAAAGTGCTTGTGCCTGGATTCATACAAGTAGATTCTCTTCCCACATGGGGATGTGGCTCCTGACATGTGCTTTGTGACTCACTCATCTCACAATAACAGAAGGCTTTGTATTGACTCAGTCACATTCTTTTGACCTGTCTACCCTGTAACCAATGGCACGGGCTTCTTCAGTAGCTCCATGGCTTTGGAATAGTAGTCCTGTAGGCAAAATGGAAAGTCTAGCATTTTCTATCCTCAGGAAAGACTACAAAATCCATGGGCAGAGAATAGTCTCTGGGAAAAGTTTGCTAGACTAGTAGAGAAATAAATCCCACCCCTCTGGTCTCATTAGAGTTGCATTCTATGCAATTTAATTGATCAGCTGAATTCATACACTATAGCATAACAGTCATTTATTCCTGATGAGAAAGCATCTGCTTACTTCCTATGGGCTCAAAGCAGTTATTATTTAAAAACAATGTGGATTCAGTCACCTTATAAAATTCCCCAACATTACATAAGAAGGTAGACTTATCCTGATAGATGTTGTAACACCTCAAAACTCTCGATATGCTGTTAACACGTGAGCTAAGGGAATCCCTCCATAATAACATGTGCCCTGCAGTAAAGTAACACAATATGTCTAGAAAGATTCTTGGTTCTTTGGAACACATAGTTTCGACTTAACGTTGTCCATCCCTTACCATGGTCGGGCATCTGAGATCCCATGGAGGTCACACTGGTATTCAGCACATCGTTCAAAGCAGTATCACAGTACAGGCTCCTCTGGACATCATGCTCGCTGTCAGTCTGGTCACTCTCCTCATGTCCACTATCCTTCAGGCTGTTGCCCTCCAGGTCCTTGAAGGTGGAGCTGCTGAGTTGAAGAAAATATGTTAATTTACAACTGTGATAGATCTGATTTTTAAAATCTTTCCAGGCCAGGATGATGTCAGCTCTGTAAGGAGGCCAGCAGGAGCTAGAGTGTCCAAAAGGGAAAAAAATATGGAGAAGAGACATTTCTGTTTGAAGGTAATACAACTTAACAATACATAGAAGTTCTCAACATTGGATGTTGATACAGCTAATTATTTTTATTTGCTTCTTTTTAGTGTTACACAACAGACAAGGACGAACAAGACAAAAATCTAAAAGCACTTTTAAAGAATGTCAACATTGCAGTTTTTCTATTTCAATACAGTTAGAGTCAAATAGATATAGCCAATGTTTTCTGAGAAATTACAGTTTATGAGTTACTATTTTAAGAGATCAACATTAACTTTTTAAGCCATTAATACTGTACAAGGAAAAGGTGCTAATAATATTACTACTTGCAGGTGAGATAACAGAGATATATAGAAGTTAAATAACTTGCCCAAGGTCACACTGCTGGGGAAAAAGTATAGCACATGTAAGATCAACCCTTGCTTGTCAAGTTTCAGTACTTAAAATCTTAACTATTATGAAAATTGCTTCTCTAGAGATATCTAATAATCACCAACTATAAAAAGCAAAAATGGCAGAACTTGAAATAGTATAATTAAAATTAAAAGGATGATCAAGGTTGGAGAAACCAGGTCAGTTTCCTAGTTGTTTGATTGCTTGTTTTGTTTTTAAGACAGGGTCTCATTCTGTACATCAGGTTGACCTGGAACTTGATACACAGCCCACACTAGTCTTTGAACTTGGGATAAGCCCCTTCATCAGCCTCCTCCTGCATCCTGGGATTACAAACCTAAACTGCAATACCACATGTCTTCCTGCCAGTTCTGAGTAAAAATGGCAGAGGAACCAATTCAAAGAAAAGGATGACTGACAGGAGCTGAGAAAAACAGTTGGTACATGGAATGTGTTGGGGATAATTTTATGTGTCAACTTGACTGGACCAAGGGTAATCCAGGTAGCCAGTTAAGCCTTATTTTGGAATGGGTCTTTGAGTGGGTTAGCTGATTGAAGAACTGAATAAAGCATGGATCTTTTCCCAGTATTGGTGGGACTCATCCAATCCATTGAAGAAGACCTGAAAAGAACAATAGGCAAAATGTTGAATATTCTTTCTGCTTGAACTGGAACATCAATATTCTTCCATATTCAGTTCTCCTCATTTCCAGGCTTTCAGGCTCACACTGGGATCTCTAAAACTGGGTCTCTAATTCTCGGGCTTTCAAGTATACCATCATCTTCTCTGGTCTACTAGTTTATTGGTGACAGAGCACAGAAATTCTGAATATTCAACAACTGCATGTATCAACATCTTAAACTGCATGAGTCAACATTCACAGCCCTGTCCCTCGGGGACATAAGAATATTCACTACATATGGTAAAGAGCTATGCCATGAACACAAGGATACATTGCCACTCTGCACATTTGTCCTAAAGGAAGCACACATAAAATTAACACATGATCAACCTGGATGTTGAATCCTTGGTGGCATAAGCATAAAAAGTGAAAGCTCAAGAGAGCAGTAACTGGAATAACGAAATGAAGAGTTTGGTGATGGGAAGCACTAGCCTGTTAGTTAACTACTTCAGAAAATATATCTGAGCATCAAAGTCACTAAAATCCAGTCACTCAACAGTCACGCAATTCCTCCAAATTACGTCACACAGATAACTCAGTCCTATCCACCTACCAGAATGCAGATCTATTTAAGAAAGTTCTACAGTTCTTTCGTGATCAAAAAGACCAATTGGAAACTTATGATTTAAAAGTTTCTCACCGTTTCCACCTTCATGGCACAGACTCTGTGGCTTTCTGTATATACTAATTCAAAGTTTAAATAGATTCAAAGTTTATATTTTAGAAACAAAAATTGGCCCTGCCTACAAGCACTCATATACCTCAAGAGAGAACAAATGACCTGCCTAGATGATATTACAGGCTGTTCCATTCTATAACAAATATTAGCTTTTCAGCCTATATCATCTGGTTTTGAAACATAACGAAAAGTTCTTTAAATCCTCAGCACAAAAACTGCCATGTTAATCCAAAGATCTCAAGTCTAAATTGAATGCATTTCAGCAGTTGCCAAAATTTGCTTGAGATATATGATGGCGAATGAAATAGTCTAAAGACAAATGTAATTGGCCATCCCTTAGAATAGAGAATCTTAATCTTGGCACTATTGAATTTTTAGGTCACATAATTCTTGGTTGTGTACGTTCTGTGCATTATGAGATATTTAATTGGCCTATTGGCCTTTGCCCATTAGATGCCAGTGATGACCACCACCAAGTTTAACAGTGAAAAATCTCCTCAGGGAGACACTGCCAAATCACCCTCAGTTAGAACAACTTGATACATTTTTTTTCTCCAGTATTCTTGTAATATAGCGTGCAAGAGAAAGCACTGAACTTGGAGTCATTAGGGCAAGTAATAACCCAAAATCTGCTATTTTATTTCTATGTCTCTGGGCTCCACATATAATCCTCACAAGATCATTCTGAGGACTCATTGAAATACTTTGCACAAAGATCCAGATAGAAATATGATCATTATTCTGTATTATAATGTCTCATTCACATTACAATTAAACAGTATAGCTATGATAATTCATGAGATTGGTATAAGAATTTTATATTTATTTAATGAATGTTCCTGTCTTCATGTAAACAACTGTCAGCCATTGTCCATTGTTCTATTTCTCCTAAAATCAGGAACAGAGAACTATCTCTCCTGTCAAATATGTATCCTTGCTTTATTGAATGATAAAATATATGACCTTATATACTGTTTTGACTTCTCAAAATCTTCAAGCTAAACATAATGTTTAATTGTTTAATTATCTTATCTCTCTGGAAGCTGGTAATCTCTATCTCACTTCTAATTGGTTTGAGATCTGACTTTCAAAAATTTGGTCATCTATTTTATATGCATCAGAATACTGCAATATACCTCAGGGCTTCCAGGTATTTTGTTTGATTGTTTTTTGTTTGTTTGTTTCAGGTTTCAAAAAGCATAAATATTAAAACTGTAAAGGATTAGCTACAAGGATCTAAGGAACTGCTGGTGTGAGCAAGAGAAGAAAAATCAAAGGTATGGCCACCTTCTCATACCTCAGGACAGTTAACTCAGTTAAAGATCAGTTTGCCCATCTGACAAACAAAGTACCGATTACTGTGATCTTGTAAGGACATTTAGTAGCTTAATGGATGAATTTGTGTAAGGCAGTTTAAGAACCAGTGAGCAACATGCTGCAAACAGTAAAACAGCCTGGTAAATGGCTACTCACCCAAAACAAATAACAATTTATGCCAGGCATAAAAAACGCTGATTTCACTAGCTTTATTACCTGTCTACCTCTTGGGAGATGAGAGACTTGTAAAACAACTTTTGTGGGACAATAAATAAGGGGCATCTGTTTCCAATGGTATTGTAAATGCAAACGTTTCTATTACTGCTCTGGTGGCCTGCAGAGGTACAAGTTTATTTGAAAACACCTAGAACAAGGTTCTATACACAAGGTTTTGTCTACACAGGCTAGAAAAATATTACTCTAATACTAATACTATGTGTGCCCTTTAAAATAATAATTTTTGCAAAAGATAGATGAATTTGAAAAAATGCAGGTCATATCTCCAATAGCCTATCCCACGTATTTAGAGAATGTCATTTGCAATTAAGAAGAGAAAGTCAAAAGAGTATTGTAACTGGCTTTTAAAAATATAATCCAGAGTGTTTTCTGGACCACCTCTGTCATAAATCACCTTGAAACCTGTTAAATTTGAAACTTCTCTGAAGCTGGAGTTAAGGACTGCCTTTATCAATGTATAGTATTGTTCAGAAATTGTTGTTTTCAAAGAAAGTTTACTGCTGTTTTTATTTAAGTGGGAAAATTAGGATGTTTCCTTCCACTCCTTACTCATGGTTATCTGAAAAAGATGTACCCAATACTTACTATATACATGGCACCATAGCAGATGCTACAGAACTCCGGGACAGTTTTGTTGGTAAGGAAAACCCCCATACATAGCTTAGAAACCAGGGCTCATTTTCCTCTCTAAACTGTTTCTGATGTGTTGCTCAATTGCCATTGTGTTTTCTTTGAGCTACAGCCTCGTGTTCTGCTTGGTATGGCCCCAAAAACACCACAGGAGTAGATATTAGCCGGCAGTGCAGAGAGCAAGATTGAGGAAAGAATGTTACAGCCGGGGTAAAGTAGCACTGCTGGCCTTTCTTACTTTGAGACCATAGCAAGGATACAAACATAGTGGGAATAAAAATTACACTCTGAAAAAAAATTCCCAACTTATTTTGCTAACCTGGGCTTCTCTCAGAAACTACCTTGAGTATATCGTTTTTTTGTTTGTTTATTTTGTTTTGTTTTTTGGTAGCAGAAAGTTAGAAACAGTTTAATCATGTGTTGCTAAATCAACATCACTGTAGTTCTACCAGCTTTTTTTTTTTGCTGTTTTGCTCTTTTTATTTATTTATTTATTTATTAAAGATTTCTGTCTCTTCCCCGCCACCGCCTCCCATGTCCCTCCCCCTCCCTCAATCGGGGTGCACCCACACACTGAGACAATGGGGATGTTCTATCGGGAACTCACCAAGGCCAGCTGGCCTGGGTCTGAAAAAGCCTGGGATAAAACCGGACTCTCTGAACATAGCGGACAATGAGGACTACTGAGAGCTCAAGAACAATGGCAATGGGTTTCTGATCCTACTGCACCTACTGGCTTTGTGGGAGCCTAGGCAGTTTGGATGCTCACCTTACTAGACCTGGATGGAGGTGGGAGGTCCTTGGACTTCCCACAGGGCAGAGAACCCTGATTGCTCCTTGGGTATATCTTTTTTTCCCCTTGGGTATATCTTAAGACTGCATTTAATGTTATAAAAAATAATTCAGAGCTATAATGTTGGAATTCCTCCATACAGAAAATTGTGGGGAATATGCCATAGACCTTCTTTGTCCCTTCCAGATGCAGTCCTCATGCTTTTCAATTTTGGTTCATGTCTATAAAACCTTGTTCCCCTTTGGAGTTATATTGAGATTACCCCTGTGATTGCCAATAACAGAATATAAGACAATAGAAGATGGATATTAAGGTACTGACTGTCGTATGAAATCACTTCATCATGACCACAGCCCTCAAATGACCAGATGTCATTCTTACTCCTCCCATGTTTCTCTTGATAAGTTGTTTCAGTAGTATTTTGAACTCCTTTGTTCTTATACCAGAAAAATGAAATACATTTTCCCCATCTTTTTATAGAAACTCTGACTGCTGCAAGAAAGGGCCAGGGATGACCAGTGCTCAACTCCCAAATGTAGACAGCTGTAAAAGAATAAAGTGTCTGTGTGTAAGAGTCAGGCAAAGAAAGTTCAAAACAACATTCAGGAAATGTCCGTGGATAATTAAAAATTGAATGTCAGGTGAGAAAAAATGTATAGGAAACAAATCAAAGCTCAGTTTGGCTGAGCTTTGCCTGACATTTTAAAAAAAATCAGAGATTTGCTAATAATATTAAGACTGATGACAAGATTCGGAATTTCCTGTCCAAAAGCTTTTTTTTTTTCAAACATGAGTCTTGAAGAAAACATATACACCTCTTAAACATCTTGGGAAGCCAGCTGATCACTCTTCCCCTCACGGGGGATCCGTGCTGTGTTAGTCACCACTGTCATCTCCTACCAATTTTACACTTGCAATGGCTATCCTCTCGAAACGGATAACACACAAAACAGCCTGTATCTTTCTAGGGATAGGCATTTTTTTAAATGCAACTGTCCCTATAAATTCTAAGGCCTTAAAGGTTTTTAAACCTTTAACCGCCACAGTTCTATAAAAAGAAACTGACAAAACTGTGTGTGTTTCCCAAGCTTTCAGATGTTTCCTCTTAATCAGGTGATCCCTGGTAAATAAACTGCTGTCTTTTGATTTCAGGCCACATCTGGAGATATTTCCTCCAAGAGCTCACTCAGTTCAGGATGTAGCTTTTGTGCGCATGTGTGTATAAAAAATACATGTAAAGTAATTAATCAAAATCACAGGTGTCCAGTGAGTCTCAAAGCTGTCGTGGAAATACATGTATCCCCAAAGCTAAACACTTTAACATAAGTCTTTATCTCATAAGTCTGCCTTGGAAGTTGGATATTTGAAGCTGATCTAAGATGTGCAGGTCCCCAGGAGTCCCAGCCTTCTACTAGGCTATGAAAATCAGGCTCATGTTATCAGTTTAACCTAGTCAGAGAATTTCCAGGTACCCAGAACGAGCTAGCTCCAGAGACTTGTAAAGATCAAGCAAGTCACTGTTTTTACCAGTTCAAAAAGAAGCTCTGAAAATAACAGTCCCGAAGCAGAAAACAAAGCAGTATTTTCCCGCACAGCGCCTCTAATCAGTACATATAAAGAAGCTTTTCCTTTCTTCCCAAAATAAATAACTTAGATAATTTTCAATTCTTTGCCTTTTGTTTAAAGCATTCTTCCCCACAACTCAAAAATTTTCTAAATTATTCTATGACTGATAATACAAAATAATTAATGATCATCACTTAAGGTTACAAACTATCCCTAGCCAATATAGATGAATCTACCATAGTTTGGGGGGTTACTGCAGCATCGTAGATTAAATTAGATGTGAATTCAAGTTTCTTATACTACAAATAGGGATTTTGTTTTTGCTTTGAATCCCACTCTTACAGTGATATAAATTTATGGGATTACAGCCAGCAAAATAATAGAATTTTCAGATCTTTTCCACTACAGCTCTAATGCAGCCCGTTTGCTCCTCTGCTTCATTGCTGTTATTTTAACAAACATACCTAGTGTTCAATTTTAACTGCAGAATAACTACTGGACCATTCAAGAGGCTAGTTACATGAAACAACAATAAAGGCATCATTGGAATGGGCAGCTTCTGGGATACTTTTGCACACAATGTTCTCTCCTTTGCTTAGTTTTACCTCCAGTGAAGCTTTTATCTTCCTCCCAATACCAAGAATTTAGGGTTCGCCATAGCAGGTGGAATCTTTCAATACTGGCCTCTGCTTTGTACTCAAACTACAGCTAAGTTGTAAGCAACCAATCATACAAATTTCAGATTTCCACCAAAACATTTCAAAATGCTTTGACAAGTATTAAATTGGAAATTTTTCTTTTCCTCTCTCATCTAGGAAGTAATATAAAAGATATTTCATCTGTCATTTAAATGTCTTTAAATTTTGAAAACTGTCAAAATAACAACAACCTCAGAACATACCACAAGCTCCACAAGAGAACAAAAGTTGAGGCTTTCTAATATTTAAACTGAGTGGCAACAAAAGTTTGGATCTCAGTATGATTTTGAAAGTTTTCTAATTTTTCTAATCTTTCTAATATTGACTCCAAAAATCACCAGTAAAATATTTTATGCCATCCCAATTTTATTTTTATTTTTGCATATGTTTTGGTGGAAATAAATATTGATTCTCTTTGTGTAGGAGAATTAGCAGTGATCCTTACTTTCTATGCTTTCTCTATATTTCCCACACTTCCTAGCACAAGCACATAGCACTCACAGTCAAAATGGTATTGTTTCTAAAAATTAATGGCTTGGGGTTTTTTCATATTAAATCAAGCTAAGCAGTAGGACTTTGAAAGCAAACCAACATACCTTTTGATCAAATGGGCACGGCTGTTCACGTAGTTAGAGTCAAAGGAATAATTTTCAGTCTGCAATGAGAAAGAAAAAGATTAAAAAATTATTCACAATAAGAATACAAATGTTCTACTTAAAAGGATTATTTTACAGTGCAAAGCAGTAATGGGGCAGCAGTTTGATGAATGCCTTCTTAGGGGCCTCCAAAGGCCCTCCAAAGGCAGCATCTTACTCCTGAAGGCCAGGGTGAACTTGATACAAACATTCTCTAGAATATGGCTGGCTACTGACCATGTAACCACTTAGAGACAAGAGACAGTATGACTCACAATCGCTACAGAAACTAATTGCTCCCAATTCCCCAGCAGAGACCATTTTATGCCCACCAAATTGACTATAAGTTCAAAGGTATTTTTATTAGAAGTAGATAATTAACATGTTAAAATATTTATTCCAAAGATATGAAAATGTGGCAAGGTAATCTCCTACTATGGGTTTAAACGCTGCACTTCCCTTTGTTTTAAGACTTTTGCTCAGCATCAGTTACACAAGATGGCTTTCATTTTATCACAGATATAAAGGCAAACAAGTATTATGCCCAAAACAGGGTAAAAAGCAGCCCACATGGGGTAACAAAGCCTTTCATGTGTAGCATGAAGTTTGCAAGCAAACCCGTCTCAGTTCCTCTCATTAAATCTCTACTGTGTAATCTGGTTACAGTAGCTGGCTGGAGCAAGGGCTTTACAAAAGCAAGTGCAGGGTACCTGAAAGATGAAAGAGATAGGAAAACAGCTTTTGAGCACAGGGCATCTGGGCAGTTTGAAGGGGGGGCAGTCTTAAAATGGATAGAAGCCAAGGACACATCTCTACTAAAGTCAGTGTCCTAGAAAACATGACCATACACCAATGTTAAAAGCACAGCTCTTGTTGAACCTTTATATGAACTCCAAATGCCCAAACACATCTCTTCCCTCATCCTGCCATTCAGCTATTCCCACCATTCTTTAGCAGCCTTCTGCAATCACTTCAACTGGAAGTGCCTGGAAATGGAAATACAATAGCTGTCTAGAGAACAAAATAGCAGATTCTTTTCAGATGACTACCTGTCAGACATTGACTGCCCGAGGCTCTTAGATGCAATCCTGACATTCAAAGATTCACAGTTTGATAGAGGAGAAAATGAGGCAGGTAATAGCAGACCCAGCTACCACACTAAACAGCCAACAGTCAGGGGAAGGGCCCTACATGCCTAGAAAGTAAGCAGGAAGCTGGCACTAACTAGTTGGGAGGATAAAAGGAGAGAGAACTGAAAAGAAAACAAAACCCACCAGTGTCCAGTACTTACTCACATATGTCCATGTTTCCACACAGCCCTCACTTGAAGATAGACTGGATAATGTCTATTTACACTGCTTCTTCTAAATGTTTAGATACCCTTTGGTGTAAATAAAATAACAAGTAATTTCTGATGATATTGGAAGAAATAGTTCCAAAGAATAAAAAAATAAAAATGGTCAGTCCATTTTTCTGTATTGATCTGTAAGTGAATGCTGAGATTGTGCAATAAGTAATTAGTGGAGATATGTGTTGGAAATATGACCTTAGTATTTGCTATAATAACTTATTCAGAAGTCCCTTAACCAAGAAACATTCGATCTAACTATTTTTTTTACCAACACAATGGGCAAAATGGTGTTAAGTGTCGGTTGTTTTATTATATTCACTGCAATACTCAATTTAACAAGTTGTCCCCTGATAAAAATCATGGTACCCTATCAAAATAGGAGATGGACTGAGCACTCAGTGATCTACTTCTTTGTATCATTAAACAATCTTTGCTAAATTTAACTTAATTTTCTGTGCCTCAGTTTCCTCCTGTGCGAAGTACAATAGGAACATGAATTCAAAAGAGAAATTCAACAGCATTTATCAGTGTTCACAATGAGATTCCATGCCAACACTGATTTCTATGGAGCTTGAAATCACAAGTAGAACCAGAAATTTACTTCATTCTCATAAAGAAACAAGTGCCTGGCCTGTTCAAACTTACTGAATCTTTACAAGAAATGTAGCACAAAAAAAATACGTAGATACACAAAGCACTAGAAAAAAAAGAAAAGTAGAAGGTATTGATTGGGCTTGCAGAAAAATCAGGAACACCATACCAAGTTACCATCACATTAAGAAAAACATATTTTCCAGAAGAATATTTTACGTGTGTGTGCAGATGAAAGCATTTAAATCTCTGTGCATTGTGATGTCCTGACCTCCATACACCATGCAAGGACCACATGTATGAAAAGAGAGGAATAATCATGCAAATGTTCGCTCTTATGACTGTATTATTTTTGACTCCTTAGGGAATAATCTATCTTATCATAAGGTATTCCACTCACTGTCAATAAGTTAGTACTAGAGAAGTCTAGAAGTCCTGGTCATAATGACCTTAACAATTCTTCCCACTCACCAAGGTTCACAAATTGGCTAATCATTGACAGATGTCACAGGTATGATATGACATTCAAGGTAGAAAAATAACACTGAACTTTATCATCTTCCTCTATCTTCTCTCTTCTTCAAACTTAATGAGTAAGTTTCCCAGTCTTGTGAATTCTGAACTCCAAATAAGGATGTTCCATTATGCAAAGCAGCAGATGGACCATGCTGCATCCTCGTAAAACAGATTCTAGAATCAACTTTCTCAGAATGAATGGAGCTATTCCACCTCTTTGCCTTTACAGCTAGCATCAGTCCCTAAAGAAGTAGCTTGGTTGCAATTAAAGGAACAATCTATGCAATAGAATCATTCGCACGTGAACAGAATCCACTATTCTGGCTTAAGCACTACATTCAGAACAACTGAGTTAACTGGCCATGCAGGCCTATTATGTTACGTATCTACATTTATTAGCATCAAGAATCAAGATCAGTCTGAGGAGACGTCATGTACAAGCATGAAGACAGGACTCTGCATGCCCTGGGCCCACATAAAAGCCAATCGTGTGCCTGGCAGCCCACCTGTAATCCTTTGGCAAGCAGAAACTGAGAATAACCAGATCATGCTAACTAGCCAGACTAGCTGAAACCACGAGTTCTGGGTACAGTGGAGCATGTCTCAATGCATAATAAGGTAAAGAGTGTCTAAGAAAAATACTTGACATCAACTTCAGGTCTATATGCACGTGCAAATCTACCGCACACACATATATCAGTACAAAAGACAATCTGTCTCAGACTGAGTCCAGGTGTGTACTCAAATCCAATTCTTGCGCACTGAAAGAATGGATTTTTCCTCATCTGGTGAAGAGTGATACCTTGAGCATCCTGAGAAACAAACCATCTTGTCTTAATGAACTGGAACAGCTTGCACATCTCAAATGAGTGTTTCCCAGCCCAAGTGCATATCAGAATCATGTCAGGAATGTTTTAGAAAGTACCATCTACCAAAAATGCTGCGCTAATTGGCCTGGAATCCATGCTACTTTTAGAGTTTCCATGGTAAGGTGGATATACCTCCATGGTGAAGTTTAAATGTCATAAACAAAGAACTAGTTATCGGCTTTGGCTAAATGCCCCATGTTTGCTCATTGTCGCGCCCGCCTTGACCAGCAAGGAAGATGCAACACCGGAGCTCTTCTTGCAGGTAGTTTATTCAGGATCTTGTTCACAGCGAGCTACCTCCTTCTCTTTCTTTCTCTCTCTCTCTCTCTCTCTCTCTCTCTCTCTCTCTTTCCAGGCAAACTTCTCCCAGCCTTTAAAAAGGCATGGGCCGCCAACCCCGGATTGCCAGGTGGGCACTGCCCATAGGTCCACGCATATGCAAGCAGCTGACAATCATTGCGTCATAATAGCATGAGTCAGGCCTTAGCCAATATTAGGAGTTGATTATCACAGAGAGCACTCGCTTTCGAGATCGCGGAGGGTGAAAGCCAGCACCATCAGGTATGGCTCCACACAGCTCTCTACAGCTCATACAAGCCGATTGTCATATTGTGCTATCAGTTGATCATATGATAGCACTTCTGAAGTTTATCAGTCAAGGTGATCTCAATGTAGGAAAAAGAACCATAGAAGGAAGGAACAGACTTTTCAAAAAATAATAACAGAGTTTTACTTTTGTGTGTAAATAAAGCTCCTGGTTGGTCTTTTTTAATCAAAATTGGCTTGACATTATTCCAGTCTCATCTCTAGGTATTCTAAATGGCACGTAACATGAAACATTTGAATGAGAAATTTTTCTCTAAATGTCACCTTAATTTCACTAGGAAATGTCCCCATCTAATGAGACAGCCAGGTTAACACAGAAACACAGCAAGAGACAAGAACAACATTTGTTTCTGAAAACGTAATTTTGACATTAAAATTGGGTCAAAAGCAAACTTTAATTTCTAGTCTTGATGGGGAATATGTCACTTTCAAAATCACCCAATACTCCCACAAATTCTTTTTCTAACTAGAAGGATTTTTCCCTTAGAAATTCTCCAAGAGGAGACTTCTTGGACTTGAGTTAGTAAAACTGGGTTTTCCTACAGCTCTTAAAAAATGAATATTTCTATATAGCTGGGATGTCCAGAGGTTAGAGATTTTCCCCTTTAAGAACTGAAACTACCTTACACTTTAGCTTTTCCTGCTTGTTTCTGAACTGTTTCAGCAAATTTTTTGTATAATGTAAAAAAAAAAATAACATTCTTTCCTTGGTTATTTGTGACTACCCATCTAAACATAAAATACCGTGCAAGATTAAATTGTACCCTCAATAACACCCAAAACAATATTTTGGGTGGCTCACAGCTTTATCTTGAAAGGGAACCCTAAGTGTTGCTGCTTTTTAGGACCCTTTTGCCATCTTATCTTGGAAAATGATGTGGAGTGTCGTATATCAATCTATTGATTTTATTGGTTAAATAATAAAGAAACTGCTTGGCCCTGATAGGTGGGAACATAGGTGGGTGGAGTAAATAGAACAGAATGCTGGGAGAAAGAGGAAGTGCGCTCAGATGTGAGGCCGCTGCACTCCAGGGCAGATGTGATGAAGCAAGCCACGAGGTCAGACATGTTGAATCTTTCCCGGTAA